AAGACGGATGGGGCCCGTGATGAGGCGCTGAAGAGTTGTACGGAGGAGGTCGGCTGGATAACCTGCTTGGAGCAGGCGGTCATGCTGTCGCAGGACACTTTCTGATGAGAAGTGTGAACAGGATTTCGAGCGAGAAGAGGCAAATAAGGTTCGAATGATTCTAAGCTTTACCGACTTAGAATGGTTACTGCCAAACGGAAGAACGGGTTTTTTGGATCGTTGCTGGAAACTCCAGCATAGACCTTGAGGATGAAGATGAAGTTTTAAATCCAGATACTGTAGACCTTCATCTGTTGGTTGAAACTGCTTGAAACACACAGAGATAAGTGTGGGCGAGAAATCATTGAGGCGTTTAAGGTCAAATACGCCACTAACAATGTTTCTGAGCCTTCTCTGGTGTTATCGCCAAAAGAGCTGGAGTTCCTCGCGCCAGAGTTATCGAAAAGCCAGTTTTGATCAGAGAGAGAAAATAGATCTTTATTAAAATAAAACGTTCAATCAATTATCAACCTTTCTTTTTTTCTTCCTTTTCCCCGTTTTCAGGGGCTAATTTTCTTTCTTTTCTTCTTCCTTTTCCCCTTTATTCAGGGGTCAATTTTCTTTTTGTTCTTTTTTTTCCCATTTATTCAGGGGTTAATTTCCATAAATGTCCTATCGTTTTAATTTGGTCTTTTGAAATTTTCGAGCAATTTAGTTTTATTTTATTTTATTTTAAATTTGAGCATTTACGTTTAATTTTTTGCTCTCTTTCTTTCAATTCTTTGAAGTTCACGGTCGTAGTGTCATAGGCATTTCATAAATGTTAGTTGCTCATTGAAGAACTGTGTGCGTCTGTGTTCGTCCTTCATGTGTTTTATTCTTTCTGTGTATTCTGAAGATGGTAAAGACAGGTCTTACGCCCAGCTGGCTTCTTCCTTTTTTCGACGAAACATACATAAAAAAAAAAAAATATCGTGACGTGTTTTCTGAAGTTACTGAAAAGTTGGGGTGAAATTATAGTAACTTGAGCATGTGCGAGTGCCCAATGTACCTCAACTTGTTAAACCTACAAACAGCGCTATGTTTCTATACTTCGTCTTCTTGTCCTCCGTTTTCTTTTTAAACTATGTTAAGATTACGGCTTGTGTCTGTTTTGATATTCAAAATAAGTTTACCATTTTCTTTGTGACAACTTGCATTCGCATTTTCTCTTACGTAGATCAGTGGCGTCACTAGGGTCAACAGAACCCGGGGCGATGGACCGCCGCTACTTCCCCCCCCCCCCCCCCCCCCCTTCTCCCCGCTCTCGTGGCCCGCCGCAACACCCCCCTGAGCGCAGCACCCAGTGCGGACCCCCCCCCCCCCCCCCTCCTATACTCCGACTCACTAAAACCGTGCAGTACAGCCAAAGGTACAGGGAGAGAGCGGATGCCAATTTGTTTAAGAGGAGGGAAAGGTGGAACAAAAAAGAAGGGCTGGGATTCTCTCGCTCCTCCTTTTCCTCCTCTTGAACAGGTCGGGATACACAATCTCCTCTGTAGCTTTGGCTGTACTGCAAGGTTTGGTGAGACGGATGCCATGTTCCAAAATTTACTCGATCCTACTCCAGAATAAGGGTTTTGAACCTTGGCAATCTAAAACCTACCCGCGTGCAGCGTTTTTCAATCTGTGTTGTCACGTGACACCAGGGCCGTAACCAGGGGGGGGGGGGTTAGGGGGTTCTGACCCCCCCCCCCCCCCCCCCCCCCCGAAATTTTTTTCTGGGTACGGCCCTGGTCGGTGCACTTGCAGCCAGCCGATTTTAGTCTCCACCTCTGCGCACACGAGGTGGCGCCGGTCGGCTACCGGATACCAAACCGGGACCAGTTCTCCGGTTTGCTATAACTCTCCATTATACACTCCGCGCGACGCGACTGGCGCGCCGCCGCGCGGCCGCTACCGAAGGTAGGCAGTGAGAACCCCAGAGAAAACGAAACCGAAACCACGCCGCGTACGTTGGTACGCGTTGAAGTCGGATCGGTGCGGTTGCGCTGGGTTCACAGCATGAAGAGCTGCCTGTGCTGCGTCATTAAGTGCTTCAATAGTTATGCGTCGTATCTCGTGGGGACAAAGTTTCACAGTTTTTCATCTTGCCGATGTTTTGTGGGACAGCGACAACGATGGAGCCGTGCCGTACGACGCGAGAAATTTGGTCTCTCGATCATGTCTGCCACTGTGTCGGCACGGCTGACATATTCTACACTGCCGCTTTGCGCTCTGCGTTTGTTTTCGTACCAGTAACGCCTACATGTGTCAGCGCCGATGGGACGAACTGAAATGCCATCCCACACTCGCGGGTATGCAGTGCCAATTTCGTTGGAGGAATGCCCTCCAAAGAAGTTTCGTCCCCATCGTACGTGTCGATGATATTTCCGGACAAGTATGGCACGCAATCTGTACTTCATGAAGAAAGATTCGAACGGTAAAAAAGTGACAAATATAAATCTAAAGAAAACAACAATGAAACTCGAAATCACTGGAGAATTGACGTTTGAGTATGGAAGTGTATGTGGTGTGCTTTCTTTCTTGATCAGCCTCCTTTTGGATGATGAAACGCTGACATCCCGAGTTCTGTAGACAACAATTTTTTTTTCCAGGCTTTAGAGCCAACTATCGCAAAGTGGTTCGAACTGGGAGTACCGTCCACTGGTCCCTTCCTACCTGTAAAGTGTGCACCTCCCACGATGAGTGATATTATATGACAGCCTTTGACGGTCAAAGCCAGTTCCCATTTAGTTACGCCGCCACAGGTTTCGCTATGCCAACTCTTTTTGTTATAATAAGTGTTGTGCCAAGTGACGGTTATGTCAAAGTACCTGTGCGCCGAAAATCAGCACCTCGCACAACAGGTTATTACACAACAGCTGACCGCAAAAGCCCTTGGCGGCCAAACCCTCTGTTGGCCGACAACTTTGTTTTCCTCGGCTTTGGAACCACCTTTCGTAAAGTTGCTTCAATTGGGAGTACAGTCCACTAGCCCCTTCCTACCGGTAAAGTCTCCACCTCCCACGACGAATGGTATTCTCTTGACAGACCTTTCATGGTCAAAACCGGTTACCATTGAGTTACGCCGCCCAAACCAAATTTCCACCTGGTTTCCCTTTGCCACCTTTTTTTGGTATAATAAGTGCTGTATCATGTTACTGTCAAGTCCGAGCACCTGCGTGCCCAAATCTGCACTTCCCAGAGCCCGGTTATAACACAACATTTTGGGTCCAATATTGAATATCCCGTACAGCTTTATTTCTTTATTCGTTAGAAACATAACTTTCACACCTGCTGTCTTAATGAAACTTGGCACACTTCGTGCACAAACTTAGTGAACATCTCACTCGCCTCCAATATTATCGTTCCAACAGTCCTACGTTTACAGCGACGAGCGGAATTTCCCACTCAGAGCAATTATGGTGGCGCCGTCTTGCTTTTCGAGAAATTGCTCCAACTTCTTTTTCGGCCGCCAGCTGGAGAAATTACCCCTATATAAGTGGAGACCATCTAGATGCCCTTCTACCCCAGCACTGATGCAACGTCACCCGCAACGTGTCGGCTCAAAAAGCAAAAGTTTCGTCCGTGCGCGCTTCCGCCGCCACAGCTTAGCATGCGAAAAGGCGCCGCAGACTGCTGAACGCGCCTCACTGTCGAACGCCAGCTCCTCCGCTAGCGGCGCTGCGCGCGTTTTTCAAAGCGCCCCCTATAGTTCCCGCACGGAGTGTATATGCAACCGATGCACATGATTCATAGGCGAAAATAAGACAATATACATTTTCAAAATGGCCGCCGTTGTCCCCGAAACCCCCCCCCCCCCCCCCCCCCCCCCCCAAATTTTTTTCTGGGTACGGCCCTGCGTGACACGACCTGTCGGATTAATTAGGGCCAATTTGAGTAAGATTTGGAACACAGCCGGAGTGGAAGCGGATCCGCGTTCGCAAAGCGGCGGCGAACGCCGGTTGCATAAAAATCCAGCACAATTTCACGCGCACTCGAACCGCTTTGCGAACGCGGATTCGCTTCCAGTGTGAACGAGCGGTTAGTGACATCACTGACGTAGATACCAGGGCGCATTTCCAACAGCGATGAAAAGCTGTCTCAAAATCATAAGACCTCCCCCCCCCCCCCCCCCCCGCACACACACACACGTTCACACATTTTTTTGTTTTTTTTTTTGTTTGAAGTTTGGAATTTGAATGCAGATAATGTTAGGCGATCTGCGAGTTCAGAAACGCAGATCTTCATTGGAACTTGGGCTCCCCATAGTGACACTCACCAGCCTGTTCACAAGTATGTAATTGTATCGTTATGTGTGAAGATGTAGTGACATGTTATTCACGCAGAGAGAGTTCATTTGAACCAAGAAGAACAATGGCGACCTCTACGCTGGGCGCCATTCTTGAAGCGGACTATGTGAACACATTTCCTACATTTTGTCTAAATTAGAGTAACTTCAAGAAAACTAACCTCGGCTACAAGATTGCACAGAAAAGAAAAAAAAAAAAAGTAGGATCGTCCGCACTACAATAAAGGGGAGAACACTTCTAAAGTCGCGTGCATACTATCGCGCAGGTGCATGCGAATGGGCGACCTTCCTTTCCCAAGACCCTGTCAGAGAAGCCCTCGCGCGAGCACCGGGAGTTAAACAATCGCGCGCGCCCAGAATACATCCCACCGCGTGATGAAGCGTGTTGGGTCCGAGCCAAGGGTTTCAGACCCGAGCTCAGATCTACGCTGGTTTCCCGGGCAATGCGCGCTCCATTCTCACCGAGGAGCCCCCGGTGACGGTTGCGCGATGATCGGGCTTTCCCGCAATTCCCAAAGGGGTGCCATTTATTTCGAGGAAGCACCCTCAAGGTGCCAGACAAAGCAGACGGCACGAGAGGTCGAGGGACGAGGCACGTGACGTCACTTCTTCGCCATTGGTCCCCGCGTTTGACAGATGCCGTTGCGCAAACCGTTGCCTCAGCACGCCCCGCCTTCGCACACGCTCCAGAAAGTAGTCTGTCGCATATAACTTCCTAAATCTGTGATGATGATGTTCGGGGCGTGTAATATTACCGTTATTTTTTAACTCAAATCCGTTTCCTTCCCTTCGAAAAGAAAAAAAGAAAAAAAAGAAACGAGTTTAACGAATTTGTGGATGATGTTTTATTGACTTGACATCGCGGCGGAAGAACACCTTTTAAGTTACCGCCTGCGTTTGTGCGGGCATGCGCAGTGATCTTCTGAGGTTGGACTTGGATGTGAGAAAAAAGTGTTGAGCAACTGTCACGTGAATGGACGTCACCGACACGGGTGTGCCTGGTTAGCTTGGAACTTCTCAGGCAAGAAGGAAGTCGACGGAGTTGTTTAGCCGTGTGTCCGGGTTAGTGGTGAGAAGCTTTCTTCCCAGAAAGGCCAAAGGTCTTACGGTGGCTTCGACGTCGGTCACGTGAATTGCTTACGACACTGCGTCATGAATCTAAACATCGACCGCCTGCGCTTCTGCGTCGGCGGCAGCGTCTTCGCTCACGGGCTCTATTGGATACTAAGGTGAGTTTTTCCTGCGTTGAGCAGGGAAGATTTATTCATATTAAAATTTTATATGTTCACATAACTGCGTGGTTTGTATACTACATAGGTTAATGAAGTGAGCTAAACTATATCCCGACTCTTTTGCGGCCATTTGTTCATTGGATCGTCATCTTCCCACATACTCTGTCATTATATTAGCAGCCTGTTGTTCGTGTATAAGCCGCACTTTCCGAAGTGTCTGTAGTTCGTGTATAAGCCGCACTTTCCAAAGTGAATGAATGATACAAATAAACGATGCCTAAGCCGTTCCTACGGGCTTCACATGTGCACACATTAAAAACAACAACAACAAGTGATGGCTATTTGATATGAACTGAAATGTCTGCTATGAGCCACCTCAATTTTTATTTCAACGAGTCTTCGTATACGCTACTTATATATATATTAAAAAAAAAAAAAAAAAAAAAAAAAAAACGCGAGTGTTTTAAACGTTGTAAACATTTTTTTTTTATTGTTTTGAGATTAATTGACATTCGTTTTTAATTTGTCGTACTTTCCAACGTAGACGAGCCAATATTGGAAGTTCCTGTGGATAAGTTAAAAAAATATATATATTAGTTCCGGCAAATGAATCACTATTAAGCGCATATTAAAACATAAACACAGGTGCACACACACACTTTCTCGCGCGTACGCTCTCTCAACTTCCGAAAAAAAAAACAAACAAACTTAAATGCCTTTATAAAAGCTTCTTTTTTTCTTTTTACATTTTAGTGAGATTGATGGACAAATTTGTAATTTCACATGCTATAAATATGACATATTTTACAGCGTAAACGAACCAACATGAGGTGTGAATGGTTTCGACAAACTAAACTTGGCATTAAAAGCCTTCGAAATGAAGAACACTAATTTAACAGCGCGCATAACGCAACATGTCGGTGCTATTTCCATGTGAGTTTATAACTCACGCTAAGCAAAATCTATGTTACCACCTGACGACAGCCAGCAAAAGAGCAGATCACGCACGCTACCTCCAGGCCAGAGGCGTTGTTGCATATGGTGTTGCCTCAGATATATGCAGCTTGCCAAATAGCGGCAGTGGGCAAACGTTCGAAATGAGATGGTAACGCAACACGTCAAGAGCATAAAGATGTTCAGCGCCTGTGGTTGCGTTAGCGCACCGAACATTTCGAAATTTCATGCTCCACTGACACATGCAGTAACAAAAGTTCTGAGCGCGCGGTGGAACAAAAAGAACATTCTCACGCGATTTTGCGTGAAACTTTCTTTGTCCTCAGGCGTAAATACACAAGTACTTGCGTAGAACGTACAATTGTACTTCTTCCTGCAATCGCGTGGACGAACGTGCCACACACGACGTTATCATTTCGTCAGATCCCAACAGTAAACATGATTGCCGTTTCTTCCGTGTTGTCGCTTTTTTTTTTTTTTCGGCCAAGATTTGTTGCCGATGAGACAAGAAAAACAAATATCGGCGCAACAAAAGAAGCGGGTGGCGAGCGCGTAACGGCGCATATTTTTCCGGTATGCGCTCCCTCGTTTGGTGCCAACAGCAACAGAGTCAGGTGACGCCATGATCATATGGTGCTAGTGACGTCAGACGACGTCACGCGAAAGGGGATGAAAATAAACATGGCGGCCGCTGCGAGCCAGGCGCGCAAGCTATTCGCTTGGTCTCGCAATTTCTTGCATGGTGCGTTCGCGAAGGTGGCCGATACGACGCAGCGACACGACCACGAGAGGGACTCGACCTTCCTGCGTCTGTTCGGACCTTTCGAGGCCTACCTGGTGTCCATTCAAAGCCTACTCATCTGGGAGAGACCCTACCTGAGCGCCGTAGCTTTAGTGGCAGTCAACATCTTTTTCTGGTGAGTGACGACAAGTGCGCGAGATACTGACGGCGCTTGCGTGCTCGGTTCTTCGACCATTCGGCTCGAGTTGTAACCTCGTAACGGTTCACCCAAAGTTTTCTGTTTCCGAAACAATTTTTTTTTTCGTTCAGATGAGCCGCGCGGCGGTCGAAGGTATCTATCGCTCGGACAAAAGGTATTGTCAATGACAAAGCGATGCAAGATGTCTTCGAGACAGCGAGGCTCGTAGTTTTGCGAGGGATTGTTGGACTCCGTGGTGGAACCACAGCCTCTATGGTTTTTTCGCATACCCTGATTCGCGTCAATTTCGGAGCCCGTTTTTGCTTTCACCGCCTTTATCATGGAGCCTCGATCGATTGGTCGATCGCATTGCTCTTTTCCGTGATATCGGACATCTGTAAGTGGGTAAGCTTTGAATGTAGCTGTAGTTCAGCTTGATTGCTTTTTCTCTCTCTTTTTTTTTTTCCCCTGCTAAGTTGCAGCGCGCCTCCCGCGAAACTCGTCGCGATGTCTGCCTCCGTGCGCTGCCGTGCGCGAACGGATGATGGCACAAACTCCCCCAACAAAGGCGCTCGGCGCGGTCCGTAACCTTCAGCGAGTGTATCCCACTTGGCGTAGGTAGGGGTAATTCCCACACCGGCCTTGAATGACAATGCGACCGCCCTCTCGACCTGACACCGAATTTTGGCCTTCTCGGCGGCACGATCCCCGGGTCGGTTGTCTCCAATGGGATGCTTGGTTTTTGGTGTAGCATATTTCGCGCTTTGAATGCGGTTGGCTTCGGCTGCCACTGTCGGGGATAAATGCCATTCGCTACTGACATGTAGGAACGGCCAACAAGCAAACCGATGCAGGGTGTACAGAATCAACACATAATCAAATATTTAAACTTTGATCTTCAGGGCAGTGTTACTCAAAATAAACAAAATCTCTCCCTCTCCCCTTCTTCCTTTCTTTTTTTTCTTTTTTTTTTTTTGCTAAGACAAGTTTTTTTTAGATAGCAATGAGGTTTTGAAAATGAATGAGCATCTGAGGATAAAGCACCCTTATTTTTAGGTGCAGAAGAAGACTCTGAAATGAATGATAGGTTCTTTTGCTCCACTCACCTTACCCAACATTAAAATTGCCCATCACAAACAACTTTATTTTTCATTGTTGGATTGCCGAATGTTTTGAAATATCTGGCCTCCTCGATAATGATCAGAGCATGACAAGTCTTCTAATATCATCTCGAGATGTATAATGCCAAATGTACAAGCATGCTAATATTATTGTAATTGTTGAATAGCTGGAGTGCCTACAGTATATTGTGTGACATTCAGACAAGATTGTGGGTTGCATTTTGAATCCTGCGGCCTAAAGTCTGTTTCAGGTTAAGAAGAGTGGGGTAAGCACCTTTTACAAAGCACTCTACTCTTTCCACCTTAGCAAGATGAACGCCGGAGAGAATGAAACCATTGAGCGTGGCGAGCAGAGAAGTTTGTGCGAGCGACTCGTCCTGCTTTCCTTAACCCGCAGCAAACGATAGCGCAAAATGGCCTCTTCTTCCCGCAGGCTTGTGGTGTCGTGCAGCAAGCGGCTCTACTCCTTCCTTGCCATTGTGGCCGCAGTCGTCTTTATGTACCGCACCTGGGTCGACAGCATCTGGCCCGAGATTCGTGTTCCACCACCCGAAGGAGAGGAGGATCCGGAACAGTAGGCTGGCTTGTTCCTTGTCGAGCTTGTCTTTTGTGCACAGAATGCTGGGGGAACGCTGCATAGTCGCATATTCTGTAGTATGTATCAAGGAACACTGACAGAGTATTTACGCTCGCCAATGTGTTTTTTTTTTATTTTTTTGTACATGACATATGAGAGTCAAACTACCCAGAAAACAATTTGCGGCTTGAAATTCGTTTTCTTTCTGCTCAGAAACCGCCAATAGAGTACTGGCTGGCTTGAGTCGCGCTCACTCTGTTCTTTGTGTTCACGTGCCGTTTTCTATGGTTTTGTAACAACCACCAAATATAATCAAAGTCGTGGCTCATCGAAGGCACAAACAGAATATTAAAAATAGAAAAGAAATATGATACCCATTTTTTATGGCTTCTAAAAAGCTGTAAATATGTTGATTGGAAAAAAAAAAAAAAAAAAGGTTGCACAGCCACGTGACTTTTGCCGACTCTCTCCTCCTCTATATTTCTTCCTCCCCTGTCCAGTTTCGCTTTCAAGCAGTTGTGTTTTTTTACTTTATTAAAAGTATATTTGACTCTAGCAATATATTGATTGGGTAGTCTTCTGACACCATAATGAATTGCCTGGCAAAAAAATAAATTTTGGTGTGTGTCAGTGTCCCTTTAACTCAATGGAAGAAGGGGGGAAGCAGTGTTTGCTAGTGTGGGCACTAAATCAAACCAGCTATAGACAAGGAGATAGAACTGTAGGGGATGCTTTTGTCCTGCCTGTTTTTCACATGGCTCAGCGTTTGCCTAATGCAATGCCTGAAGTCCAGTTTAGCCGACGCAGCGCTGCGTTGGCCAAACATTCTGTCGGAAACAAGCAAATAATTAATGTTCGTTGTCCTCTCAGCTGAACTGGACTGGTAGGATGTGACTGTTCTATATCCTGCTCAATCTGCATGTAGCATGTTTAAGCATGCACTGATTTGACAAGAAATGTCATGTCAGACATGCATTTGTACCAATTATTAATTAGAGAATAATCACTAAAGACGAAGTTTCCACATCCACCACATTCTCACGGGGTAACTGCCCAGCACATGTCACCGTGGTCGCGCCCCTTTTGGTGTAGTTGAATAGGTTTGTACGTACCGTAATATCTTGGGAGATGCCCCACTCCCGAAAGGTAACCCACCCCTATTTTTGGCAGGGTTTGCTATTTGTCAGAAACACCAAAAGATAGTCCACTTCTAGTATTGCAGGGCTTTGGCCAATGGTGACCTCGGCAGGAATGGTGTAACTTAGCCCCGACATGAGGTAAGCGAACATTGCTGACTGGGAAGGTTCATAGCCCCTCCCTGCAATCGCAAGTTTCGCAGGTCACAGTATCTAAAACTAGCATTTTTCAAACTTTCTTTGATCGCACACCGGAAGTTATCCCACTCTATATTTTCACCCGATTTGCTTTCCCTTTGGCTGGGCTATCTTTCGGGAATTAACGGTAGATGGAAAGTATCTTTGTAGTGATTGGTAACCAGAGAATTCTATATCATTGTATGAAGACATTGACATAGGGGTGCAATTTCACCTTACTCTTAAAGCCCGACCTACAAAAAGGTTTTCTGCGAAATCCTTTTCACCGCCCTTCCCGTTTCCCCCTCTTGCACTGCTGTGTTGACAGCGGGGAGCCTCCTTTTGTTGCTGCATCTTGGGGCTGGATAGAAGCTCCAGGCTCATCCGGCCCCAAGGTGCAGCAGCAAAAGTCCCCCCGCCATCAAGATAGCAGTGAGAGAGGGGGCCTCAGGGAAAAACCAATCAAACAGGCCAGTGTCATGTGATATTTAACAGGTGGTGTGGTACAGTTCTGCTAAACCCACAAATATGTCTCATGGTTGGTAATGGATACTCACCGCCATGTTTCTTCTTGTTCTAATTATATCTAGGGTTTCGGTTTCTATTTTTTCACAATTCGGCATACTTTTTTCAGTGTATATTTATGCCGACAAAAGTTTACAGATTTTTTTTTTTCAATGAATATGAAAGAAACACCACCGGATCGGATGATCTTTTTAACTCTGATGTTTGTGATCCCTCAAGGAATGACGGCACAGATACATTGAAAATAAAACAAAAAAAACATCGACACTTTATTTAGCAAATGTGTGCAACTGTAAAAAAAAGAACAAAAAACACAGAAGTACAAACAAGTCAGTGCCCAGAAAAACATGGAACTTCACCTTCTGTACATCAGGATTATGCGATCTTATTATAGTAAACACATAGGTACTTTCCCAGGTTCTTCTCGTTGATTCACGCTCATTCTTTCCTGTTAATGACCCTGGGCTTCGAGAATGCCCTCTCACCGTTAACACTGGACACTGGCAGGCTGAGCAGATGAAGTGCTGCATGATCCAAAATCGGCCATTCAACCAAATGTGACTATCAAAAGAGACACGCTGCGACATTTGGAAGCACAACATATTTCGTGCACTCACTAAACTCTGTCTGCAGATCTTGCATGAACCTAAAAACCTTATACGAGCCCACACATAAACTTTTTTTTTTTTAGGACCGGGAACTTGACACATTAAGCCCGATCACAGAAAGGACACAGATGTCCCACGAAGGACAACCCATGACCTCTTTTGTCACACGTTGAACCTTGGAAGAGGGCAATCACAAAAAGGTCACACAGTGTCGAACCTTGCAACGCCTCTCTCCCCTCCCCCCTCCCCAACCCTCCCCCCACCCATCTCGAGGCGACCTTAAAGAAACTGACCATTTTCGGTTAAAACAGAATTTTAGAGAATGGATTCGGCTTACTTTTATCGGTTTTTATCGGTTTAAACTGCAAACGCTGAACCAAAAAAATTGACCTTTTTCGGTTCAAACCGAATTTCCGAAAATGGATTTGGCGTACTTTTATTGATTTTTATCGGTTGCAACCGAAAACTCCGAACCTTAATTATAACCTACCTTTTGTTTTTTTCAGATGGACTCCAATTCATCCTCAGGTTCTCAGTGTCCCTGAGTTGAACCGCTACTTCACCGACTGGACCACAAGCGTGAAGAGGTGGGCACAGAACGTGGCAGCCCTCAGGAAGACGCATCCAGGATTGGTTAGTCCTCACCTGGTTGTGTTGTAGACATTTTTGCTGTTAGCCTTTAGATTCTGTGTTTGATTCTCCACTTGTAGGTGGACAATTTGGCCACTATAGTGCAACTGTTAATCTAGTGTCTTTAATAAATTTCTTTTGATTGGCGTAAAGCTCATCTGAATTGAACGTGGTGAAGGTGAGGTCCAGTCCCAGGCTCTTTAGATATGCAGTGTGAGGCACTTCCAAGAGCTCTAAGCTTGTGTGCCTTGACCATCTTATACCACTATTTGGTTCTTCAAAAAGTCTGGTAATGAGGCCTTCTTATTCAGTGAGCATGGCTTAAAGAGTAACAGCATCTCATTCTTGATAAGCCACACTAGCTAATAGTAGAAAAAAAAAATTATATTTTATGTGCTTGACCCTTTGGGTGCCGATTTGGAGATTAACATCTTAACGATGACCACTGGTTACATTCATAGTTTTTGTGCCGGCTTTCAGGAGAACATAGCTGTGCACAGCCACCCCTTACTCTTTCTCAAGGTTTTGGGGGGCATGTATTATATGCGGATGATGCAAGAGAAGACCATCTCGCAACTCTTAGCTGTATGAAGAGTGAATGTGGACACCTGTAACCATTGCCCCTGAATGTGCTTCCAATGTGAGCAAAGTAGTGCATTCTTTTGACCTGCAAACTGTGCCGACAAACTGAGCCCTGGGAATGACGGAGTGGGTTTAAAAAGGCTTTAGATTCCTTCTTGCTAGGGCACATTGAAATGGAAGAATGTGTGGAGACTGGCAAGATATCGGAAGAATGGTCTATTCAAAATAGAAAGCAGACCATACACTTTTTGCAATAGCACTAACACTGCAAGCCAGTAAGTGGGTGCTTAATACTCGTGAAGGGTTTCCAGAGGAATACAAGGCACCTGTAGTAGCCCATACAGACATTTAAAAAAAGGGTCACATTGAGTTTGTTGGCGACGGTCACATAAACAGACTCTTGCCACTTTTGGTGCAACTTCTAAAGTGCTTCAAAGTGTGATGGTGTCCTCTACACTGCTTGCTATGTGACCTCTTAAGTCATTCGAACTCAAAATGAGACTTTTGTGCTTGTTAAAAAAAACAAATTGATGCACATAGTGCACACAAAGTTTGTTCATTGTCCAGTAGCCAAGAAAAATGGAGTTTGAAACCTCGAAGGCGTTGGTCACTAGTAGCCAAAAGATAGCGCTCGAGTTTGTGGCTCTAGAATAGTTATGACAGGAGTTTTGTTTTGTATGTGCCACGTTATTGTCAGTTGGCTGCACCACATGAAAGGCAAACCTTTGGATGTGCTTTTGTTTCTTAAAGGACACATGCAAAGGAAAAAAACATTTTTTTTAAACGGCTTAGATGGAAAAAGGATGCCATAAAACAATTTTACAACGAAGAAAAAAAATTTTTAGAGCTATATTTACGGCGCAAAACGAATTTGTAGTTGGCGCCCGCGGGCACCGCGGAAAAGTGGTCGGTATTTATCACGTGACTGGTCTTTATTTATCACGTGGTGCTTGCGCTCTTTCGGAAGCTTCCTATTGCCTCTAAAAGTAACTTATTCATCTTTATTTGAAGTATAACAAAAAACCAAGACGAATAAGTAACTTTTAGAGCCCAAAGGAAACTCCTGAAAAAGCGCAAGCAGACGTGATAGACCTGTGCGCCGGTCAGACGACGGCGGCGGTGCCCCGAAGCAGACGAACTTGTGCGGCGGCGGCGACGGCGGCTTGGAGAAACGCGTTGAAGCGGCGTTCGCACAACGCTCAGCGTGCGGCGGCGACGCAGTGCGTCGGCGCGCGGGCCTACCACGTGACCAGCAGCGGCTCCCGCGGGCGCCAACTACAAATTCGTATAGCGCCGTAAATATAGCTCTAAAAATTTTGTTTCTTCGTTGTAAAATCGTTTTATGACATCCTTTTTCGATATAAGCTGTCTAAAAAAAATGTTTTTTTCCTTTGCATGTGTCCTTTAATGAGTACGACATTTCTCTCTCCCCATAGTTCTGCATCTTGTCTTCCTCCACTTTCGCCATGACTGCGGTGCTGGGACGCATGGTCTCGGGAGTGCTGATCCTCTACAGCTTGCGTGAGTTATGCTTGTAGCTCTCATCGCAGGCCATTCAAATTAGTCGGCTGTTTCTGAGGACTGTGACGAAATACACATATTAATTGTGCCTTTGGAAGAAATTTATTTTTGTGAAAAGCGTGGGAAAGGAGTAATGATTAGAGTTCCACGTTTCAAGCACACATCGTTAGACCCGGAAAATTAGGCCTTTAGCCTGTCACTTCCAAGCTTGAAGAAAAATAAGCCCTAAAATCACTGAACCCTAGCAATGAGGCAACCCAAAAGGACTGGATTAGGGTGCGTGGTTGTTTTATTGATTTTATGCATATGCTTACCTGAAGCCACAGCCGACACGAAGGAAGGGCACAGCTCGTAACATTTACCCATAGTTATTTTAAAGGCTCCATATAGGTGCTACAAGTCGTGGAAATGGTTTATTGCATTGCGGAAGAAACGCTAGGCATCTAATTTCGGTCGTCCTGCTTTACAGTGATGGCGGTGACCCTTGGTCCGGGTATTGCCCTCTACGTCATACCGGAAACGTGGTACGAACAGATTGAAGCACTCCTCAGAGTTGCCTCTGGGAAGTCTCCGAGGGAAACAGGCTCAGGTGGGTGTGTTGTGTTTGCATTAGGCCGAGCGAGGGCGAGGGTGAAGCGGCATTTTGCTGGCTCTTTTCCTTATCAGATAGCATTCCTCGTTCAGGCAGACCAGCTGGCTGCCTCCGTTATCGGGCTTGTGCTATCGAAGCGGGTGACGCGAGGCGGACCGGAGCTCCTGCTTTCAAGCTAACAGCATGCTCTCTCTTTGTGCTTGCTTCTTACGTTTAAAGTGATCTGCAAATGACTCTTAGTATCAGCGTGCCTGCTGATTGTGTGGCACAGATCGACTGAAATGACCGGATTAGTGATGATTAACTGATGGCAAAGGTTTCTCATTGTCAGTAAGTACTGATAAGCCTCTAAAAGTAAACCCCGAAACCATTCGATCGAAATCGGGGAAAACCGGAAAGCGCATAAATATAGCTTTCCTTGGATAAGGAGAACACATACTTTGTGGAAAGGAATTTTTATCTACGGCTTTATTTTGTGTTGATCCGTAACACAGCTCCCGCCAAATTGTCCACGAGGCTGCGGCTTTCTTTGGGAACTGCTCCATTTATCTCCTTCCTTTCTCTTATATGTGCACCTGTGCACATGTTTAAGTATTGGGGTCACACAAGCTCGGCGCCAAAAATTGATGCCGAAATACACCAAATCTGTGGGCAAAAATAAACCCTCCGAAATACACCCCCCAGATTCAGGAAAAGGTAATTCCCCAAAACACTGAACCCTGCCAGTGACCGACGACGGTTCTCCAGCCTGGCTCGTCGGGGAACATTCATAGCTTGGAGAATGATTCACGAAACCACCCCGTGGAATCTTGCAGGAACGACTGCCCGACGTTGGAGCTAGTGCCACTAAATAAGCTACACTTCAGAGTTACACCACCTCAGCCACTTTGGTGCTACAAATCATTGTTGCCCGTTATCCGAAATCGCTGGAAATGGCTTTCTGTCCTCCAGAAATGCTAAAACAGCCCGCGACAAAGCAAACCAATGTCACCCGAGCTTTCTGGCGTCACATCCAAAGCTCAGGAAGTCTCATTTTCGAATCTTGGTGGTTGCCGATCGTGCCTGCACTATGCAAAATGCCAAAGCGGCGGCGCCCACAAAATAATCGTGGGACAGAGTGCAGTTTCTCTGAGCGCAGCTTAACTACACTTCCTTTCACCTCGCGGCGGTTGCTACGAGCCATCGGAGCCAATAGGGAGTATTCACTGGACGCCATATCTGAGGGCGCTGTTTAGAGCACAAGCTCAGAAGGAGCTCACATTGTGCTAAGACCAGCAACCTTGATGGTGTGACATGCACATTTGAAAAGAACTGTGGAAGCTCGCCATCAGCACGCACTCAGCAGTCGTGCAGACAGCTATGGCTGCCAATGAATCCTTCCATTTCAATGTCGTGCGAATGTCACGTGATCTTCGAGGGGGGCGCTGCAACGCGCGAGATGCGTAGTCGTGCAACACTTTTGCAGCGCTGGATTGGCTGGGATGACTCGTGGCATCTGCTGAGGTCCGTCGTAAGGTGAAACAGAGCAGAGTAGCTCTACCGTAAAATCTCAAAAGATGCCTCACCCTCAAATTGTAACCTGGCCCCTATTTTCGGCTCGATTTGCAATTCTTTTAAACACCGAAAGATAGCCCACTCCTAGTAATCATAGTGTTTGGGTCAATAATGACGTCGGCGTAAATGCGTCTAGTTAACTATGGTGGGATATAAGCGAACATTACTGACTGGGAAGTAGTCATCTTTGCTTTATTTGCTCCTCACCGCGATAAACACAATCTAAAAATAGCTTTTCTTTTTTTTTATTTTTTTTTTCAGCTTTTTTTGATTGCACATTGAAAGTTAACCCACTCCTTATTTTCATTCAATTTGCTCTCGATTTTAGGGGGGGCGAGACGTTTGGAAAAACATTTCTGCGCCATGCTTCCAAACCGGCATGCACGCTTGCCTTACCACACGCTTCTCTCCTCTCTATCACAAACTCAGGTGACGGTGGCGGCAATAACGCGACTAACCCGGACGATGGACTGGACGAGTTCCTGCCGGAGGTCGACGAGGGCGAGCTTTCTCGGCAGCTCAGCCTCTCCCTGGAGTCCGACTTTGCACCGCCGAGCTCGCGCGGCCTACAGGCCGCCGTGGCCAGGGAACTGGGCACCACGCACCTCGCTTCTCTCGGTTCGTGCTACATCGCAATCCAAACTACGGCATTCGAAACGCGTCCTCTACCGTCGCGTTTGCCATCCTGCCCCACCTGGCCTTCCAAAGCAGTCTTGAAGGGGACGGTCGCAGAAGCCAGCGTGTCACGTTGTCGGACGCCGCGGTCTCGGCGGTTGGTCGTATAAATTCCGACAAAAAGGGGGAGGGGATGCGAGGGTCACCGTCGTCATGGCGTCCCAGCTTGCGTCTGCTTTGGTGTTTGTCGACTGACTGGGCCCGTATGCTCGAAGCAAGTTATCTTTAACTGCGGCAAAAAGTTAACTGCCCTTCCCTTTTTAGGTACCTACAGGTACCTAGTCAAGTCTGACGAGGGCTAGATGAGCGATAGCTCTACGTTTTGTTATGGGGTGGTAGCTGGTGTCACCTGCTAGTTTTAGCAAATATAAGTGGCTTTTGTGGAAAAGTTTCTGAAAGGGGGGGGGGGGGGGGGGGGGGACCCAAGAATGCGCGCCACTGGGTTTTCGCGACGCAGTGTGGCGTATATTTGAGCTTAAGAAACACTTTTAGTTGTTTGGGGTACAGATAACGGGTAAGGTCAAACTAAATTAACTCTTGTTTAAAAAATTACTCATAGGTTGGCTGTCAGAAGTGGAGACGAGCCTCATTGAAATTTCCTTCCAAGTTTGAAAGAGGATGACGAAGTTCAGTCGGTTCAGTCTTCAAAACAACGAGGAAGAAGTGAGCAGTAAAAGGCGGGCTGCACACCGGCAGCACGGTTAGCCAGCATGCAAGAACTCTATATAAAACCTTCATAAATTAAAAACAGTGTAATTCAGCTCCAGTCAAAATAGACCTATTACTAAATTACTCGAGCATCGAGGAGAATGCCCTAGATGTAATTCTATGCGCTTGTATAAAATGTTAGAAGTAAATAACCATAGTAAGGCTTCAACGAACGAGCGTGCCAGATAAAATTTGTTTGAGCCTTTTGCTTTAGAACAGTTACTACTGGAGACACTAGCACAAGCAGCGCGTGTAACTACACTCTTAGCATGCTCCTTAGTGCTTGGGTAATTTAGCAAAAGGTCTGCTTTTGCGTGCTATCAATGCCAGGCCGATTGAGTCAAGGCAATCCACTAGTATTCCAAACAAGTCGCCACGTCAACAATTACGGCATTCGTTCAGGCTTAGGAATGGCCAGAATCGAAAGTCTATCTGAAAAATGGGGCGAAATCATTGCTCATGCTTTGTGATCTAAAGGTAAGGCAAAGCGAAAGTCTCGTGCACCATTCATTGCTGACTAACGTGCCCGATATTGCAGCTACTAAGACCTATACGCCTCGCAAGTGGGCTCATTTTCGTCTTCTGCGCATAAGAAAGGAAGTAGCGGTGACGTCAGAACGCCGAACTCTGATTGGCTGATTGCGGCCCCCTATCTCAGCGTCGTCTGCTCCTTTGCAACGTCGTCTGCTCTCAACGTCGTCTGCGTCTGTCTTACCTTTCCTGCGACTTTCGGAGCGAACTCGGCCTCGCCTTTAAAGGGGCACTGACACATCAAAATCATATTTTTTTTTATTATCCGAAACGATTGAAAACGATGCCGGGACATTACCCTCAAAATTTGAGATTTGGGAATTCAGTATTCGTGAAGTAAAAAAACAATTTCCAAATGCCGAATTCGAAGTTCCCGCGCGATCGGCGCCGGTGCCTTGACGTCAAAAATCGCGGAGACCTGAGAGTCCCCTTTCCTGTCACCACTCCCTGCTGTTGCCATGGCGACCCAAAGCGAGGAGGAAAGGAGCGAGCGCCCGGCGTTGCGGCGGACCGGTTTTGAGCGGTGTCGCCTGTTTTCCGTTGGAGGATACAAATCCAGGAGACGGCACCACAACGAACTCCCGATTTTTGGTATTTCAAAAAGAAGGGCCGTAGTGCGTTCGCAATTGCGTTAAAAAACATGTTTTAGGATTGCCGTCATTAAATGTTATAGAGATGTCGCCTACAAAGCTTCTAAATTTCCTGATTTTTGACGTCACCGATCAAAAGAAGCGAGGAGGCGAGACGCGGGAAAATCAAACGCCAAAAATAAAAAGGCGCGCGCGCGCGCGGAAAAATTTTTTTTCGCGATGCGGTTTTTTTTTACGTGTCTATGTCTGCAACTTGCATCGTTTTAGACAATAAAAATAAATACGACCTTTGGGGTGTCAGTGCCCCTTTAAGAGAGGGCAAACGAAATAGCTCGAGCGGTACGTTGTTTTTGTCTAACAACTAGCAGACGCGCATCAAGGAGGGAAGTCAAAGGACTCCCTGGCGAGGTGTCCCGGGGCGCCGAGGTTTTTTTGCTTAGAACCGAGGCAAGTTCCCTCCCAAATACTTTTTCCCTCCATTCGTGTGCGGCGAGACCCCTCACTCTTTAACGGCGTCGGCGGGTTGGCGCAGTTAACGTCGTCGGCTTTACGTCTGCTAGTCAAAGCGGTCAAAGCGATGGCTGCTTTACCTTTGCTGCGTCTGTCGGAGATTCACCGCTTTTTCATCGGCGAGAGTCAGGGCTCATTCACACTGGAAGCGGATCCGCGTTCGCAAAGCGGTTGCGAACGCGGTTGTATAAGGATTCAGTACAATTGCACGCGCACACGATGACATCAAATGCGCGTGCAATTGCACTGGATCTTTATACAACCGCTTTCGCAACCGCTTCGCGAACGCGGATCCGCTTCCAGTGTGAATGGGGGGTCACCGTTGCCTCGGGAAACAAGGAGATAACAAGAGGAAGAAATTGACCCCTTAATCTAAAATTGAGGTCAGCAATCAAAATATTATACGGGAAGGGTTCACAAGGGTCGCGCGGGCATACTCCACTCAGCACGCCAGCCGGTCGTGGGCAGACGGTCGCCGAGTCGCGGAGAGCCTGCTAGGCCTAACTGCCCAGCTCGTTTCGTCGCGTTCGGTGGGATCGTGGCCGTGGGAGCTTTTCCCGGGTGTTTGTGGATCCAGCGTTCTTGTTCGTCGTGGTCTGTTTCAAGTACTTTCTTCTTTTTTCTTGCTGCTTGAAGTCGGGACGCGTCAGAACCGCACGTAAAAAAATAAACGTCCGTGGGTCGTCGCGACCGCGACGTTGTCGGCCATGCTGATTTGATCGTAAGAAGTGCGTAAGACAGCTTCGGAGCTGTCGTAGGATTTTGTCGTAACCTGCGCAAAACTTAAGAAAATTTCGTTTCGTGAATACGAATTTGTTCTTAGGTTTTGTCTTACGCACATTTTTGGCGTAAGATCGTTTCGTGAATCTGGCCTCTGCACTTCCGAAAGTCGCAGGAAAGGTAAGACAGACGCAGACGATGTTGCGAGCAGACGACGTTGCAAAGGAGCAGACGACGCTCAGATAGGGGGGCGCGATCAGCCAATCAGGGCTCGGCATTCTGACGTCACCGCTACCCCCTGCGCGAGAAGCAGACGAACTTGCCCTCCGCATTAGTTCTAAAGCGAGCGACGCTCGCTTTAGAACTGCAAGGCACCGCCATGCTTCCCTGCCGTTCTTACTTTGCCAATCACGTGACCTAAAATTCCTCCTTGAAGGGAAGTGCACGTAACTTTCTGCTGCGGTTAAAGTTGACCAGCTTTGAGCAAACTGGTCCTGGCTGCAGCGCAACCTGCTGCAGGACGGGGGTGCGCCGCATCTACCTCTGCTTCTGTGCTGCCACCAGGTTCGCAACAGACAACGGCGTGACACTTAATGACTTCATCAGGCGGAAATCGAAGAACCACTTTTGAGGATGTAGCAAACATGCCGGTTGGAGATGCGCTCCAGGTACCATCATCCGAACCCTGGTCTGCAGCCAAGCATGTTCACCGGTATCTGACGTTCCCTTTTCGGTTGCCAAAGCCGACATGTTTACTTGGCCGAGTGGCTTGCAGAGAGAAAATTGGCGTGATTTCCAGAAGAGGTCGAGAATGAGTTCTGCACTGGAATTTAGAGCCCCCTTTGACGTAGGGTTTGGAATCCCCGTATAGGTCGCCGTTTTGAGTCCAGGGGTAATCCGTGCCTCCTTGTTCGCTGCTGTCCTTCCAAAAATTGCGGCAATTGAGTTTGCACAAGTTGTGCAAAAAGAAATACTAGCATTGGTTGGAAGAGACAAAGTTATATTAGTATATTTGAGTTCAATATGATTATATGCCTTTATAGAATAAAGGTGTGCGCATAGCAGAAACAAGTTGAAACTTGGATGGGTTATCTCAAGAGTACAGGTGTGCATGTGGTGAAGACTTGGAAGTTAGGATGGGTTAACTCGTGCAAGGTGTTATAGTGAGCATCAGCTCTGGTTGTGGAGCTCAATTTAATGTGAACCTGCAGAAGCTAGAAGATTCGAGCTAGATGTGTTGTACATTGTATGGTGTACAAGATTTTATTGCCTGCATCATGTCCAAAATTTCTTCCGCAGTTTTAGGGTTAATTTTTTCAGCTACATGGTGTTGCAAAGACAATAGACCTGTTGCAAAACATACAGCGCCATGACGGCAGGAAGTTTCGGGAACCCTCGGTCCAGATCACGCACTTTCTCGTTGCGCCTCCGCGAATGCGCGCACGTCGCGGCAGCTACCGTTAGCAGTTGTCGCAGCCATCCGCCATCCTGCCCATCCGCTGGAATGTCGTACGTTGTTGGCGGCGTGCCGCATCAGCGGCAGCGTAAGTGCATTGCGAAAGGTGATTTGAATACGTTATTGGTCGTAACTTACCTTCACGTTTTGCACCGTCGGGTGGTGCAGGTTGAGAGAAACAGTTTATTTTCTTTATTTTTAACTCTCACTTAGAAATTGAGTGTAACAGAATCCATTTATTTTGCACCGCGACTGTGGCAGGGTTAGACCTTGGTTAGACAAAGCGTTGGCACAGCAGACGACAGAGGTGGTGCGGTACAAAGGAGAGGGATAAAAAAAGGAGCAGACCCTCTTCCCCCTGCGCTTGTCCGACGATCCGACTCGACTACTCGGTTCTGGGGTGCTTGAATGTTGTTACTATGGTAACCTGCGCCTGCTCGCGTATGCCACGTGGTAGCAGAAGGAAAGACGATAGGAGGAGCATACCGAGTACTCCCATTATTCGTCGCGCGGCACGCACAGGATTTTGGGATTTTTGCAAAGGGTCTATTGGTGCTCTGCCTGTTCATGATACTGATTACGTATGTTGCACAGAAAACTTATCTAGGTCCTGTGACTTTGTACACAGCCTTTGAAAAAATTTGTGTATCAGGAACAAATTGTTTTTGTAATGCAGCGTTTCATACAAATTAGGTTTATAATGTTAACATTAGCGTGGTAAGAATTTTGTTGGGTAAGCCGACTTCGACTAATCAAGATTAACTGTAGTATTGCAGAGATTTACTAGATTTAATGGCTACCCCTTCGTGGCCCTTTTCCAACAAAGGGAGCGGAGGCCTTCAATACAAAAACTAACGAAATGAGGAACACTACGGAATTTTGATTGTCGCAAAATACATGAGGGAAAAGTCACAAAAGTAGGCTAGATTAATTCCAGATATGCCATTTGGAGGGCTGTTTCAGTCAACAATGGCTGTGGTTGCCAAAAGACCTAAAAAGATTTATGGTGCACTGAGAGAACGCTCCTGACCTGTCCTCCACGAGCTTGTTTCACTCGCGTCGTACACCGCATACGCAGCACGAAACCCCGCTTCCCATTCGCACACCTAAAAGCCTTCCCTCGACGCTTCCCGCAGAAGAAGAAACCCGGCTGTCGGAGGGCCTGGGCAGCTTTCCGGACTTCGACGAAGACAGCATGGACAGTTTCCTCCCCGACATGAGCACCATGCCTTCGTTGACCGACACCCTCCCTCCTGCGCCCGCAAACAACAACGAGAACGCCTTGGCAAACGTCATTAATGGCATCCACTTTGTGGCCTCGCACTTCCGCCAGTCAAGCTCTGACTCAGAAGCGTCGGAAGAGGCCGCCACGATCGGAGCCGACTTTGGGAGGCGCGTCACGCGCTCCCGCGGACGTCCAGAGGCGTCCCAATCCAGGCCGCTGGCCGTGGGGCCGCCCCAGCGTCCCTCCCGGCACAGCTCGCAAGGTAGTGACATCGACATTGACGAATACGAGGTGGTGGACACGCGCGACTTACCGTCAACATGATGACGTGTCTCGTTCAAAGTCGCCCATCTTTTCGAGTCTGCCCTCAGCATGGGAGAGGGGTTGGGTTCTCGAGGGGCAAAAGGGGAAGTGTCTTGTGGTCTGTGTCTGTTTGACGGTGTCGGTGAGGAGTCGGGACAGTTGTTGTGTGCTCGTGATTCGAAGGTGTTTGTTTTGCACCTTTCGGGTGTTTTCTCGTGACGGATTTGCATTAGGACGCTCATTTTAAATCCTTCGTTCCCGATTTTTTTTACGTTTTTGCATTGCATGTTTAACATGCCTTAGCCCTACCTCGCTAGGTGCGAGATTTTTTATCCGTTCCGTCGCGCTTGTGTAGGAGTTTTGTCGAAAGGACGAGATAAAACTGTGTAGCCTGGAAAGATTTTACCGGGTGGAAAGTCTTGTATGATTCGTATCTTCGCAGTGACACGTAGCCCAAGCGTAACGCAATGAATTAGTAGTTAGTTTGAAGTTTTGTGGCGTATCTGCATTGCATTAATGCTGGGAGAGACCTGACTTTATGTTTCATCGCATCTTTAAAACTTTTTAACGAGACCTGCACCCTCATCCCTCCCTTCTTGACAAACAAGAGTGCTCTGTCTAAAACTTGGCTTGCGGCAGGTGTGGGCACCTCTTTAGGTGTACAGCTAGAACATGAAAGACACTGCTTTTTCACCGCGGTGCAAACCCTGGCACAACTGCACCTTGCAAGCATGACCTGTCGTTTCGTATTGGTTGTTTGAACAACGGTCTTTTACCATCCCCACTAACATTCAACAAACATCTATGAAGAAGGGCCAGTGTTTCTACCACTCTCGCAGATTGAGAGGAGCTTTACCTGGGGAGACCCATCTTTCTGGCTACTTTGGCGAGCATCAAAGGGGTCGGACTTGTCTTGGCCTTGTGAGAATGGAAACTTTCACCTGCACTGTACTTCACTGCACATGGAGAGGGCCACGTCTGCCTGAGCAGACTTTTGTACATGGTGTGCCGTTGCCCGTAATGTGCGCTGCTCTCTAGGCCCGAGTTGTGGGCAGCAGTACAAGTGGACCAGTAATGTGCTGGTTCTCACGTTGCCTCCACTTGTACCTAAGTTAAGTTCCATCGAGTCATCTGTGTATATTTATTCGACTTACACGCGTTACAAGACGTCAGTATTTTGAAGGGGAAGAGACTGCATTTTAGGTTTGCATAGTCCCTAGTGAAGTGGCCTAGGGATAGTTTTGTGACTGTTTTTCTCCCATAGAGTTGTGTGGCTGTTTTTTTTTGTTTTTTAAATTCATGCTGGCTTAAGGAGCCCATGTAGAGCATCTGTGATTTTTGTTTTGCCTTGTTTTTCTCGGTACATTTGTTGGTCCCTTTGGACGATGTTGCGAGAAATTTTATTAATTTTAAACATACGTATATGTTTATATAGTTGCAGTTGCTTTTTTCTTGGGGGGGGGGGGGGGGGGGGGGAAGGGGAGGGGAGGGGGGGGGACACATTATTATAATCATTTGAAGTTTCTTTCTGAGAAATCGTGAACGTGAGAAAGTTTTATGGAATGTCATTAATGCTCACCTTTTTTTATTTTATTTCTATTGTTTGTGGCCTATTCCTGGAAGCAACTGAGTCAGCCTTCTGCGCTAACTTTTTGTTAGATGTGCAGATAATCAAAATTTTACAAAGAATAAAACTATCTGACTGGGTTTGACCCTGGCCTGAGGTACTGGTCCTTTATGCTCTTATGGGTGAATTTACGTATGTTCTCTACTTCCGATTTCTTTTCCTACCAATATTTTTATGCTTTAGGATGCTTACTGCTCTTTTTTTCCTAACTTGCCTGCCCTCATCTTAGCTTTCAGATTACAAGCAAAGTTCCTCCACAAGTTGCTCGATTAGATATTAGCTCCTAAATTTCACTTTTTTTTTCTGTAGTGCTTAATTGCACAATGCCCAAAACACAAAGTTGCTTGTGATTGCCAGCCGCTTGCGACTGCTTCAGCACACCCGACTTTTGAAACACTACTGTAGAATTCTTTTTGCTAAATGGCACATAGATTGTAGGGTGTTCTGACATTCCTTCTTACAATCTACAATATGTGACTCACTCTAACTTGCATGCTCAAATCAGGTTTTCAGCAAACTGCACAGCAGTGTGATGCTGTTCTTGTAATCCTTTCTGAGCATACTGCAACATACTTTGTTCAGGTAAAAGCTTGAAAAAATGCATTGATACCAAGACTTTGGAAGAATGAGATGAGTACCTTACTTATTTGAGTAACAGATGCACTGTTTGTAGACAAGACCTGCACGTCTACTTTTCTGCAGAGCACACATAGTCATTGATCGTGTTCTACATAAAAAACAGTAAATAATGTGGTCGAAACAATGGCTCTCCGCGCAAGTGTCCTGCAAGTCTGTAGAATGTGATGATTGGCTATCCATGTACTCCGTGGGAAAGTGTAGGTGCTGGCTTTGTTCATAAGCTGTGTGTCTATTACTCTACTGAAAGCGGTACTTCATGGAGTGTAGTGTTTAGGGAAATTCCGTGTTCGCTTGTTTTATGGAGGAGAGCATAGTGCTGATGGCATCGCCTAGTCTAGCGCTGTAACACAGTTTTGTTCTGTTTTTCTGCGTCTTTCCAAAGTGTCGCAAAATGAGAAAGTGTTGCCAGGCGTGGCAGACTCCTGCTCACAAGACTTCCAATAGACAGGCAGACTCCTGTAAGTGGTGTTTTTTTGTCTGGAATGGCACGCACGGCTTGGTGGCATCTGTGACCCGGAAACACTGCACGTTTTTGTCCTGCAAGTCTAAAAATCTCAAACGAGCACCTCTGGAGACATGTCGGGTTGCCAACTCACGCTATAAAAGATCACAGCTGTACAGGCAAATGTTTCCCTATGCAACACAATTTCCTCGAGATAACTTAATTTCTCTTTCAGTTGTTTGACTCCATCGTTTTGTTGCCATTTCCTAGTGCACACTAGTCAGAACAAAACTGTATTAACTATGGCCACATTGTCAGTTGTGCACATTCTATTTTTTATTTTTTGTCTGAAAGTCACCAAATATTTTTTTTTAAAGCCTTTGTGTAGCGTCAGGAGCATTTCCAGAGAATCTCAATTACGATTTGTCGGTGTGTGCAGCACTATTTTCCAGCGGGTGTGTTTCACAGGGACGTCTGTGTGATTCTAGAAACACCATTTGGAACATTGGTGGAGCCTGCAAACTGTGTCGAAAAGCAAGTTCTTCGGAAAAGTCCCTTTTTTTGTCATGCAAGTCTGGTTGGGCAACAGGACACTTAAATCATGTAGTAATCCTCAAATCGACCCCATTTTTCAGTGCCTTGTACATAAATCGAGAATAAAATGAAAGACTTTCATCGTTCACTTTTTCATTGTCAAGACTCGTTGGCTGCCGGACAGTGCGTTGCAGTAATATAGTGTCCGAATGATATGTGGTGTTTATAAAAAAAAAAGCTGCTGTTGGGTGCTGCATGCTAAATGAAGCATAGAAGTCACCTGTGGCTTTTGGTGAAGTTTTATGATGGGCGACAAACTTTCTACCGTGCAATATAATTTGCCGAAAACCTGCCAGGTTGGGAATCCTCGCAAAAAAGTTTTTCAGGAAGTGCACGCAGCTCTTTATGCAAGTACAGCCTAACGTAGCACTGTTCCGAGCCATTATTCATGCACTCTCAAATCTTGGAGTAGAAGGGCTGCGCATGCGGCTCGCTGTTGGGCCTCGACTACCGTAAAGTACCGGAGGAGCGCCCACCCAACTTTCAGCGAAAACTGGGTTAACCTAGACATGGCGACGAATGCAGTGACAGTGTACTTTTAGGGCTGCTTGGTCCATCGAATCGTAGTGTTGACTGCTGTCAGACTTAAAGTGCAGTAGAGTATACAGGTAAGGTACGTTCGATTTATGTACACTAGGCCACACCTGTGCGGAAAAGTACTTGCAGTATGCGCCTCCAAATGCGTCGCTTTCGTAAATCTAATCGGACGGTGTACACCAAGTGCAGGCTGGGGCGCAGAAATTAAACAAATGAGCATCTCTGGAATTACTATGACGGGCGTGGGAGTTCCCACTAGTACTTTTTAATGCATCGGCCGTTTCACCGTCGTTTCCTAAGAAGGCCCGTTTGCACGGTGGCGTCCGACTGCATTGCGGTGCAGCAGGAGGTTACCATGGCAACAAATCGTTGCAGCTCGATGCAAGCTCCCGCGACGTAGACAAGGGCTACTTTGTGAACGGGCCTTTAGTCTGATACGTGTTAAAAGAATAGATGTGCACAAAAGTGACTGGCCCATCGCAGTCTCGTTGCGAGATGCTGCAAGATGCGCTTCAGCGATGCTGGCGGAAGGCGGTGCTGAATGAATCCGCTAGTCATTACATTTTGCGAGGGAAAGGTGCAGACTTTGCCTTCTACGTGGTACTGGCTCGGCTACATTTTTACTTGCAGCTGACATTGGGCACGGTATTCTTTTTCACCCCAAGGGAGGATTCACACAAGTTGAAAAGCGCCACTAAAAGGAAAAGAGAAAAAAAAAAAAAAGATGTAGCTATGTAAGATTGTTTTCAGAAAATATACAGATGGAATTTAGTGTTTGAGCCATTGGTGTAACTTAAATGCTCGGTAGTTTTGAAAATTATAGCCCTTGCAACCCTGCATATTCCACTCGGCAAATACTGCTCCACAAATTCTTCAGCTGCCTCCAGTCCACATTTAATTGAAAATGCCCCTGTTACAGGGGTTGTATATAGTTCAAATGACCACTTGCTAAATCCCAAATCCGTCTCGGCCCGCGGCTAGGGAATCATGGGACCGGTGTACCCTTACACATCTGGAGTCATCCTGAATATGTGTCGTGTACATTGCAGAGACCTGTAGTATCACTTAAAATTTCAAGTCAATGTCAGCATTTGTGATACTGTGTGCAATCCACCCTTCCATCTGGCCGAGCTGCAGAAATCTCTTCAAAATTATCATTCTCGTACAGCTGCAAAGACAGATAATGCTAAAATACCAGTCTTGGGTAGTAACGCGTTACTAGGAACGCGTTACTGTAACTTTGTTACTTTTTTGGTAACTTGTAACTGTAACGAGTTACTTTTTAAAAATGTAACTTGTAACTGTAGTTCTATTACTTTTTGTGAGGTAACGATGAAAGTAACGACGTTACTTTTTTCGTTACTTTCCAGTTTTTTATGAATAATATATCACTGAATGAGGGTACAATTTAGCCATTCTTTGCGCTTTCTAAATTGTCTTTTCCGACATTTCGAGTGTCAAGTTATTTTTTGCACAAACTTGTGAATACGTTCTTTCTCGCCAGTCACGACCCGAATATAGCCATGTGTAGATTTGGCGAAAAAAAAGTAATTATCTTTAGTACGTGCTTGTACTTGGTGACTAAAGACTTTCATCTTACTATCTTGAAAAACCATCTCTTTTGCGGTTTTTCTTTTTTCTGCGCAAACGCTTTTTAATCGGGTGAATCAAATGTAAAACAACAATACGCGCGGAGGGCACTGCAAAAGTTTCGTATTTTGATTTGCGCCACTACTCCGGTGTAGTGGCAACAGTCGAGGCAAAATTTACTGCTGTTTGCGCGGGGTTTGTTTCTGGCTTGCCGGGTATGAACTGAAATATGTCCAGGGAATCTATGGACCCAGCGCAACCGTCAATGAGCCAGCAATGTGCTAGTGCTACCAAGGACATGAATGTTGATAAGCACAAAGAACTACCATGGCCGGCATACAGAGAGTATTTTGCTGTGGTGGAGGTGGTTACTAACAACTTGACCACAGAAAACGGCACTCTGTTGCCTCAACGCCTACCCAGCAATCAAAAGCCTGTTCCGACGAAACAACACAGCAATCACACCCAGCGCATTAGACAAGCGCCTGTTCAGCAAGGGCAGGGACGTGTTCGTTATCAAACAAGGGAAACTTCCAGACACTAATTTCGAGAAGCAACTACTGCTAATTTACAATATGAAGTAAAAAGCACACTTTTTAATTTTATGCAAATAAACTTGGTGAAAAGCGTCTTTATAGTTTTTCCTAATTTTTTTGTGTTATAGAAAAGTAACTGAAAAGTAACGTCATTACTTTTTAAAAGTAAGTGTAACGAGTTACTTTTTTGTTTCAGTAACTGTGACGGTAACTTCGCTACTTTTTTCTGAAAGTAACTGTAACTGTAACAAATTACTTTTTAAAAGTAACTGACCCAAGACTAAAATACTATAAACAGTCCCGCTGATTTTTGCAACTCGGCCAAACTGAAGAGTGGAACTGCATGCAGCGTAAAAAGTGCAGACATTGACAAGAAATTTTAACTGATAAGACAGCTGTGTGCAATCTACACGATGCATATTCAGGATGACTCCAGATTGCAGTCAAGTGTGTAAGCATCGAATTGGTCAAAATTACAGATCACTAGGGAACTGTAGGAGCACCGTTCTTATGCGGGCCTGGGTGTTGGGGGATTCAGCATACAATCTACTATTCCGTCTAGCTGACAAGGTGCCAAAATCTTCAGATTTTCAGGTTTGTGTCTTCTAGTTTTGCTATTATTCTTACATAATGCATACCAGCCTCCAAGACAAATGTCGGGTGCAGAACATCTTTTAACCCTGGAGTGGGGAAACAAGACAGGACATGAATCTCCAAAAAGGGTTAAAAAATGTCACTCAACCAGCTCGCCTGCATCCTTGAATTAACTTCAGGCTGCAGAACTTTTTTCAGCACCGCCCAATGTTTGCCGAGCACAGTTGGCCTCAGACCAGGCACGTAGCCAGGATTTTGTTTCGGGAAGGGGGGGGGGGGGGGGGGCCGGGCCCCCCCCTGCCTACGTGCCTGCTCGAGACACCTGCACGGATCTGCAAGCATACAGAAACTTGCGTCTACCTAGCTGCAAGTATGTCTTTAATTGCAGATACAGTGCAAGGTCTGAACCGTCCCTGGAGGTCCTCACAATGGCATTTTGCCTCGCAGCCATTTCTTGCAGTGGCATCACAAAGACAAAGAGTATATTTGAATCTGCTCTCACTGTTAACATCTCCATTTAACTTCGTAGACTTATCTCCAGAAGATAGCACCAGCAACACCAAAATGGCACACAGGTAGACTTCCATGAAAAAGGGCTCCTGGCTAGTGCCATTTTAGTGGTGGCATGTATGGCACCCACTTACTCACCTTCCAAAACAACACATGTATGCTTGGCCACCGATTTCTAAACACTTGAATGGTGCAGCCTGTGCCACTAGCAAACAAAATCTGACGGTACAAGTTGACCTACACCACTTCTACATTCTGCCTCAGACGTTGTGCGCTACCCAACCCACACATTCAAATCACCATTGCCAAGTGGTGCAAATGCTTCACATGACAGTGACTGCTGAATGCAGTTTCCTTTCCCCACAATCATGTGTCTGCCTTTTCTTCAGTGTTCTCATTCCACTATCCCACAAGCATGACACGTTCAAGACTTCCATGTGTGTGCTTTTGATGTTTATTTGTTTTTACACGGAACCGGATCACTGCTGCCTCGTCTCCCTGAGACGCCTCACGGAACTCCTGACAGTTGCGGCAGCGGTGGTGCTGTAATGACAAGCAAAAGAAAAAAAAAAAAAAAAAGGACTGTGAACTCTAAGCAGAGAAAACACCATTCACCTATTATAACAGCAGACTTGTTACATGAAGTCATCAATAAAATTTTAATGGCAGACTGCGTAACGAAACTGACCTTACATCCGTGTGAACAAGCGATTCATTTACAATGCAGTATTGCAAATGTGAAACGGCCAGAGTTCATTATAGACCCCTTTCGAAACACTGCCCCCTGTTGGCTGCTGTTGGAAACTTCACGGCACTGTTAATGCGTTTGGTTGGATTCAAAGGCAAAACCACACCCCCCAACAAAGGTGCGAGGGCAATGACGAGGGGCAATGACGTTGCACTTCCGACTGGTCTGCTCCTATGGTTGGTCGACCAACCATAGGCTGGTTTGCTACCTTATGCGATGACTTGCACATTCTACGATGTCAGTTGTACTGCCATTGTGCAGTGGTTCAGACCTTCTAATAATCTGCACATGACTTTTGAAAGGGGCCTATTCACAAGCATGACTAGGTACATTGTAACAAAGATCATGTTTTGTGGGTGGCTTACTTTTTGCAAGCATAAAGTAAATGTTGTACCTTCATATGCCAAACCTACAAAGGGTGTCTCATTCCCCAGCAGAGGACTGAGTATAAATATAGACTGCCTTTATTCAGGGTGTTTGTTCAAACTGCGGTTACCTCTAACAGCTCTAGACGGAAACGACTGAAGTATGCTCTCTCTCTTTCTAATCATGGGTTAGAAACTACCAAAAGTTCCTAGAAGCTAAAACTATAAAGCATACTCCAACAAACTACTAAATACACAATAGCTCTACTTTATTACTGGTCAGTGGCCTGCACTACCAGCAATTATGGAATTGGAAACCTAGAAACATTTTGCTTATAATAAAGATTAGCATATTTATCTACATCAAGACCCTAGAGTTCTTTCCAGACACAATTTATTGTTTTGAAAAGACATAAATACTTATGAACAAGATATTAGTGTTTTGATACTAAATTTACCGAGTTTCAAAATATTTCACATTCAACCAAAAATGGAGCAGACGCTTTTAAATCTGGCAGCACTGTTCCACATATTTTCAGTTTTAACCTAGGACCAGCTGATCTGTTTGTTCTCTCAAAAGATTCAACCAGCTCACCAAACGACATCCCAGCTAGTCAATGACTAAATTGCAACCAGATGAGCAAGTATTAGCAGTGGAACATAAAATGTGATGAGCCGCCGAGATAAACAAGACAACATATGCATGTAGACTATAGTGGTTGTGATGAGACAACTTTTGCAAGATGCATTTATTGCCAACGTACCGCGGCTGAGCTCAATGCAGTCTTCGCATCACAAGTGGAGAGAGTTTAGTAGGGTTTGGCAACGACTGTTTTTCTGGTGCTAAGGCATATTAAATACTTTACAACGGAGTTAGCACCTAAATGACTCCCCTGCCTGGTTCTTTTAAAGCTAAGAGTGGCTTTTGCCCTTATCCGCGACAGCTTTTGGGCGCATTAGATCTGTGCTCAGGAGCGCGAGGTTGGCGCTCCGTTCACTAAATGAACAGGAGCGCCGCCGGAGACTGGCATTCGAGTATTTCTTGGAGCGCGAGTGACTTCTTTGCACTCCGCGACGTCATGTCCGCAAACACATGGCTACGCTGACAGAAACATTCTCGAGACGAAGAGCACTCGCGTACCGCTGCTCCTTTTCAGTTAAATAGTGCTTAATCCAGCAAGAAAATACGATTTGATTTGAAAGTCAAGACAGAATTACGGAACATCCGACAAGTTTGAGTTTTCTGCGTCGACAAGAGGGTTCAAGAATGTTGTCTTTCATTTAAGTCTGAACAGCATGCACGGTCAATACACAGCATTTGGTCAAGGTTACTTTCCGCATATGTGTTCAAAGTGAGTCTTAAGATCTTTCGGGAACATTAAAACATTTGTAAAAGCTTCACAACATCGCCGTCTCTTTACTTTACAGCCTACCGCTCCATACAGACCTTAATTCATCTTCCAAATAATTTCGGCTTCGGCCGCCCGTATCTACTGAATGCCAGGTTTGTCATAACCGTGCGGTCGGAAGGAGTTTGTGGCTTGTCTCGGTGCGTCGCACCCTGTACTCCATGCGCCGTTTAGTTGTTACACCCGGAGTATGAAACTCGGATAGTGGTCTCCTCTCTCATGACCTTCCCCACATGACAGATATTAACTTTCACCTGACCTAGTGCCACAAATATTGTTGATGCAGAAACAAGACACGAAACAGTTTGAATAATGAGGGTGTCTCGTCGTAACACACCACCATCACCATACTCAATATGTAATATTCAGCTGGCATCTGTAACCTCTTTCAAGTATCTCGGTGTTCACGTCACTTCTAACCTATCATGGAAAACTCATTCTGATCATATAATCGCTAACGCAAATTCAATGCTTGGATATTTAAAAAGAAATTTTTCCTTAACCCCTATGTCCCTAAAACTTCTCTTGTTTAAGACTTTAATATGCTCAAAGTTGGAATATGCCACAGCAATCTGGGATCCAGGTCACTCAACGCTTATAACAAACATAGAAGCCCTGCAAAATTGCGTCGCACGATTCATAGTCTGCAACTATCATCGCACCGCAAGTGTCTTACTTATGAAAACCACCCTAGCCCTGCCTCTTCTTTCCTCATGTCGGAAAATATCTCGTCCATAAAATCTATCATTCAAACGCTTCACTGAAAAACAAACTATTCATCAGCCTCCCCCCCCCCCCCCCCCCCCTTAATTTCTCCCCGCATTGATCACAAACTTAAAGTTGGGATACCTATTGCGAAACTTCAGCTTACATCAACTCTTTCATCCCAAGAACGTCATCTGAATGGGACCACCTTCCCGCATCATTAGTAACTATTCCATCAATAGATTTATTTAGAAAAGCTCTATCTACTCTCTTTTGCTAGGATTATGCCGTACCAACATTTATGACCAAGTTGCCTTGTTTGAACTTATGCAGAGCCAATATTTTATGTCCATCCTCTCTGTAATGCCCCTGGGCCCTGAGGGTAGTGAAATAAATAAATAAAATGTGAATAGTTCAAACCAAAGGAAGAATAATTGCAATAGCACATATTCTTAAAACTGGAACCCTACTTTATTGGCAGCTAGTTGGCAACGCTGACGACATTGTCTGTGTTTCTTTCGTAGTGATGTGCTGCCTGCCCTGACCCCATCTTATGCACCCGTAGCGTCTCGGCTGCGGGTGCCTATGATTCTCGATCTCGCTCTGGGGCAAAGGTTTACCACCTTGACATCCAAAAACCTATCCATACCCTGCGTTACTCTGTATGTGTTCTCATGGCATTCTGCAGTTGTGAGCGGCGGCGACGGGGCAACATTGACCAGTACTATTAACCCATAAAATTTATGTGAGACGTACTGGGATTGAGACAATTGTGGCTGTTTTTACCAGTGGATGGAAAGGATTGATATTCTCAATCCCCGGGCCTTGTGTTAAAAGGTTAGTGCCGACTTTTGCCCCATTTTGTACAGCGCTGTGCTCAGGTAAGTTGACATTAATTGGAAACTAAGATCAGCGGCTACAGACAATGCCTGTGTAAAAGGCTTCAGCTAGAAGCCGCACCACGGTGCCAGTGTCTTGTTGCACGCTTCTATTAGGAGAAGGGTCTTCACCGACCACAAACACGTGGTCCTTTTTAGTTTTGTATCAGATGCACATAGGGCATTTGGAGCACAGTGATGCAATCAGCACAGCGACTGCGACCCTGTTCTGCAATATCCGTGCCTAGTATGCCAGCAGCAAGCTTCCACGAAGTCTCGTGCCGGGATAGCTCGGGCTATGTGCATGCGCCAAGTAGCACTATCATAAATATAAATGACAAGAGGAACAGTACACGCGGATTTTGTAAACACATCGAGCATTCTGCGTGCGATCTAGCTGCTTACCTTATTTCTCCTGTTTAATGGTATTAAATGACATTAACGCCGACTCATTGCTTACCGTAACAGGCCAGGAAACTGTTCAGCGTTAAAGCATAGTTGTCGTTTGGAGGGTAGACACTCACCTGTAGACGTAGGCTCCTCCGGCCACCGTTTTCGCGCACGACCGACACTTCCAGATTCCAACGCAGGTACGCTTCATGGTTTCCTGTTTGAAGTTTAAGAAATAGAAAAAAAACGTAGCCGGGCAAGTGTGTCATATCAACCATGAGATGCGCTCGACAAGTGAGAACGAAGTGGACAGCACGCTTACCTTTCCGCAGAAAGTGCAGGTGTACTTTGCGTGCTGCGTAATTTCAATCTTCTTGGCCATTTTCCTGAGGGAGGCACCATACCTGGTGCCGTACTTCCCCACGATCCCGACCTTCTTTGTACGCTTGGCCTGAAATGGACGTACACACCGCACGCAACATTACAAAACAAAGCGTAAAACGAACTTGCGGAGACACTTAGAATATCAAACGGTAAGGTAAAAAGCCTAATTTGGACTCATTGTGGAAATTTAGGGGATTATCTAACGATTTGATACGATTAAAACGGATACAGAATTACATTACCATTTCGGAATATTCCTCTTTCGGCGACGGCGTCCGAGAAAAAGGCTCGTCGTTGCTAGACGACGCACGATGATCCGCCAGAAATGCCGGAAATCCCCAAACCACAGGATTTATTTTGTGAGGTAGTAAAAAAAAAAACAGGCTCAAGAAGCAAAATATTTCCCTTAATTATTTCTAAACAATTTATAAATATATATACCTAAATATATCATTAAAATATTGTTTGCATTTTTCTTTTGAGTTCGTTTATTTGTCTCTGGCGACCCTAATGCTAAACCTTATAACTCGTATGAGACGAATATGGCCGCCATACCAAATTCGCTTATTCGTACAATAGAGTTTGAGAGTGACCCGACGCAACTCTCAGGGTTCTTACCGAAACTCGAAACAAACCAACAGCCGTCCATTCTTCGGCAGCCCATTGCAGTGGACAACCTCCTGTCTACTGCTATAAAATCCCGACCGGTTTGCGAATTGTGTTGTTTCTGTGCTCGGATACACCCTTCCAGAACCTCACAATGTCTTTGGACGAGGTAAGGAAAACCACGATCGCCGCAAAAGCGTTGTTTTTCCCCGATCCGAGCTTCGAAAACGCCTGGGATCCCAGTCACGGTAGCCCCTCCTAGAAGCGTCGCCAACGTTTGACGTGGCGTGCGAATCATTGGATGCCGCAGAAGTTGGGCTCCCGATTCGTGATATTCACTCTATCCTATCGTCGTGTTATTTCCTAATTTCGAGATCGATAGGTCAAATATTCCGCTGACCATGTATTGAGGCGTTCTTACGATCTGTTTCGCTTTGCAGCGTATGAGCTCTAACTAGCTACCTGAATTAACCCAATATCAAGTAACCTTATTTGCAGGAAGATCTTTCGGACGTAAGTAGGCTCGACGTATTTATGCTTTTCGTCTGTCGTGTGTACTGGGGTGGGGTAACATCTGAAATACTTTCTTGTTATGACGAATCCGCGGTATAAATTTTAATAGTGTATGCCGATTTCAGAACTTTCTCACCGAGGTAAGCTAGTGTTTTCAGTAGTAGTGCACTATGAAACCCTTTAGTGTGATAACTTATTATGGTCTTATATTCCATTCTATTCTTACTGTAGGTACTCTCTTCAGGGGAGACTTTAGCCCGCAGAAGTTGATCACCTGTAGCTTATACGTATATCAACGCATTTCTAGTTCATTCACTATTTACACGCAAATCAAACTCTGCTAGCCGTTCACTACTAAGCCCGTGCAGGCCGCGAGCTTTTTGGTTTGTTAGAAAGGTGGTTGAGCAGAACCTTTTAATTGTTAAAACCCTAGCCATTTTTTTTTTTTCCTCTATGTGTTTTTGTATGCTCGTGCGTAGGACTCGTCATATTATAACGGAATTCAGCCAGTTAGAGCTCCGTTGCTTTGTAGCGGGCCCTCGGAAGTCTTCCTACCGTCCCGCTGTTGACCGCGGTCCGTTTCGAACAGACCCGCTGCTTCCGGCGCAAAATGAAGTGCATGTAAAGAAACGGCGCTGCAACACGCTCTAAATGCGCAAACGCGAAGGTACCAGAAAGAACGAGAGAAACTGCATTTTAACGCGGGTCCTGTCGCCATAATATTAATTGAAGATTGTCATCGCCGGCGTCACCATTCTTAGTCTCCTGCTTCGTGTCTCTGTAACTGTTACGGTTTCTTCGCGTTGTCATGTATGTAGTACATTCTGCATAGTGTCCTTTGTCATTACTATTCCATATTGTCAGCATTACTTTTATCGTTTTCATTGGTGTTTTGTACTGGGCGAATGTGCCAAATCTCCCGTGCGCTTTGATTTATGCCTGGGAAATTTTCTTGGTCATGATTCTTGCGTAAGATCATAATTAGCTAAATATTAAATTTCATATTGACATATTGGAGTATAGGTTTTCAACCACCTTAGGACTCTGTTTTTAATACTTACTCTAACAATATCTATCTTTTTTTTTTCTTTTTTAAGCGGTCAGTTTGGATTATTTATTTCGTTTTTCCACTTTTATAATTACTCTTTTTGCAGCCATCTCTAATTCGGCCCCCTAGTAAAGAAGTTTTTAAACCCTTGATTTATATATAGCCTTTTAGGCAGCGAACACCCCTTTAAATCAGGGCTGTATAACTCTAGAGCACACGCCACGGGAGCACATCTGCGCGCCGTGGAAAGTTTCGAGGATGGTACCGAAGGGCTCCTCCCTATTCAATGAAGAAGGCAGCATTCGAGAGGTCGCGTTCTGCCGGCTCAATGCAATTGTCGGGAAAATTTTGTGCGTGTTTTTTTAGAAACTAATTATGATGAGATCTTGTATATTTAAAGTAAAATCTCGTCTTGTGTTTTTTATCAGTCAACATTTTGTTTTTAGTGTATTTGCTGCCGATTGCAAGCACTGACTTAAAAATCCTCCGAAAGTAACCCAAGGCATGGCCATCACCAGACATTGTACTCGTATAAGAAAGTCGTGAGACAGTACAGGAACTGATTAGGATTTGCAGCAGGGAAGGGGACAGTTCAGGCCTAAAATTCAGCAGGGGCAAGTCGGGTATAATAGTTTTCAATGACGAGAAGGGGGAACCCCTGGAGATACAGGACACAGTGATAGAACACGTAGAAACGTGCAAATATCTGGGAGTATGGTTAAGTGAGGGTGGAAAGTATCTAAAAGACCATGAAGATATTGTAATAGACAAGGGGAAACGAGATTCGGCTATCATGAAACACAGGGCACTCTGGAACTATAATAGATATGAGGACTGTCATTCGGGAATGTAGTATTGTGTATGAGGTCAGAAATCCAGGAAGGTTTAGAGATACAGCAAAGGAGTGTGGGTAGGTTGGCATTGGGGGCACATAGGAATACACCAAATGAGGGAATACAGGGGGATCTGGGTTGGGCATCCTTCGAGAGTAGAGGCGATCAGTAAAGTAAAATTTAAACAAAGACTAGCTGAAATTGAGGATACACGGTGGGCAGCGAAAGTGGATAAACCGAACCCGCAAGCTGAGATCTAAATACATTCAACGAGATGGGGCCGATCAAAGCATATCAGTAGAAAAGGGTGTAAAGGAAACTGAGGGGAAATTGTGGGAAGAGAGAATGCAGGGGAAAATCAGCTTTAACAATATGCAGGGCACAAAAATAAGAAATAAAGAAGGAACAGTTGGTGTGATAATTCACCCGAGCTCATTGCTGTTTGAAGCTAGAACGGGGGGATTTGTAGACGTGGATGGCCGAATGGATAGGGAAAGAATTGCGGTAAGTGGAGATTGGAAGATTGGTGGAAAAGATCTAGGGAGGGGTAAAAATAGAGATAAAAATAAGCAATGGAAGGTGCGGGCGGGGAGTTGTGTTAAAACAAAACTAACATTTTTTTTTAAAGGGATGACAAAATGTTAGGCTAGGTGGCGCAAGCTGCCGCCCGTCACACAGGGTATAGCCATTACCATCGATCCACGCCAATTACAAAAAAAAAAGCCTAATCTGGCTATTAATAGCTCAATCAACTAATCATGTCACAACACGGGCAAGAGAAGCAAAAAACAAAACAAAACTAAAACAAATCTTGGCTAAAATTATCCCCAAATCAGGTCACCACCTGGCAAATGAGTTATTCACCTGAAACGCACCCATGAAGGAGCATCCGGGTGGTGCCAATCCCGCCAGATTGTTCTTTGCTCTTGCACGGTGCGACCGGCTCTTTCGGCTACCGATGATAAACCTAACGTATTTGATACAACCTTAATAGTGTGGATGCGTGGAATTCGCTCAGCAACACGGAATCAAGATTACTCGGCACCAAATTCGTTCAGTGGATGGATAGTCACGGATTTGATTTTCGGCGTTTGTTTTTAACGCAGCACTGTCAAATCGCTATCCATCTCGCTAAGATAGTGCCAGCGTTTATTGGTACCCACTAAACTTGGGCAACATCCGACACGTGAAATCGGCGAGAAACTGTACGGGGAAAACAAAGCTGCATAAAACAAGGCGAAATCGTAAGAAATACGCCCTTCGCTAGTTCATAGCGAAGGGCGTATGAGCCTGAGTAGATATGAGCGTTCATATCAACTCGGGTACTTGACCTAAACGTCTCACGATATCGGGTGTAAGAAAAATTATAGTCGAGAGGGTTTCTGGTTTTCTTTTCCTGCCAATATTCTCTCTCTCTCTAGCTCTACCATCTGAGCTCTCCTTTGCGCTTTTGTAATTAAGATGTGTAACCAACTAGCCCAACGCTTAATTTTAATTCAGCATCTGAGCTAACCAGGGGCTAGACGTGGGTAGAGCAAACGGGTTTTATCAGCTGCCACCAGTCTAACACATTTGTCCCTCTTGTTCTCCTTCTCCAGGGATTACTTTCGTCATTCTTGTCCAGCTCGCTTGCACCTTTGCATTTAATTGCATTATAATTATAACCTTAAAATGCAAGCTTTCACCCTTGTTGGTGTTAGACTTGTGGCAGCTGATGAAACCAGTTTGCTCTACCGACGTCTAACCCCTGGTTAGCTCGGTTGGTAGAGCGCTGCAATGGAAATGGAGAGGTCCCGGGTTCGATACCCGGGATCTTTCCATTTCCCAGGTTGGATACCCGGACCAGGCGGGTTTTTTCGGTCGCGCACCAGTCGCCTGGCTGTGTTTGAAGATTTGTGTTCGTCCTTTGTCCCTCTTGTTCCCCTTCTCCAGGGATTACTTTCGTCGTCATATACCGCGAAGTTTAGTTATTTAAGGAAGACGCGTACGAAATGCTTCGAGTGAGTATTTTGATGTTAGGCATTCGGCGGGCTTCCTATACAACTTACTGCTTCCCGTAATCTTAGCCTGGGTCCTTTCTCGCGAAAATCGTGCCCGAGATATGGCGATTCAGTCGAAATATTAAAAAAGGGGGAAAAAAATAAAGGGGGTGAAATGCAGAGCCAGAAGCTTCCTTCGTACACGACTTTTCAACAAGCGCGTCGTATCTCGCCCCTGTCGTTTTTTTAACTACCGCCGCACCGTCTGGCAGAAAACTCTCATAAAAATAAAAGGGAGAAAAAAAAAAAAAAAAAAAGAAAACGCGCGCGTTGCACACGCGTAGATGGAGTAATTTAATTTAAAGCTTACGAAGTTGGCACCGATCGTGCTTCGCGAGAATCAAGCTGTAACGGTAATTTTATTCTTTATTTATTTTTTTTTAATTTTTTTTGTGGTTGACTGTTGTCAGTTTTCGCACATAAATTGCGACATGGTGACAGACGCGTGCCGTATACATTTCCAACATCACGATGGAGCGTCATCAGGTCCGACCAACCTTACTAAAACCCTAAGTTGGGAGACTCGCCGTTGAAACCTGGGCCGCTGGCGTCCACCGAGACCGAGCTATATACGCCAACAGCGCCACTCTTTATCATTTGTCTGTAGTGTGGTCACATTGAGCTTATAGAAAGCATGTTTCTGCGTAGAAACCAAAGGAAAAAGTCTTTTTGTAGTTACCTTTATTGGAGTTTGGTGCGAAATGAGGGGCGCGTGATGTTTTCTAAAATCTTAAGT